GGTGCCCTTTCTGATTCCCTGTTATATATCTACTTGGCCAACTTTACAAATGCATGATAATCCCAATACATGAAAAACAGAAGCCTTGAGTGGATATTAACCTGTTTACTATATCTGTATACCACAGGCTGAGCTAGGCTTTCCCCTCTTTCTGCCTTCTTTACCCCTTCCACCAATTGTAATGCTTAATGATCTTAAAGTGTAGATTTGGGAATGAAAAAAACTGATACAATTTGTGTCCTGACTACTTTAAATGCTAGAAAGGTTAAAAAGTGAGGTTAAAAAGCGGAAAAGCAGGTATCTCAAAAAACCAAGCCTCATAACTTATAGCGATGTAGGGGTTGGGCTATCATGTACTCTGCTGTCATCTCAGAGGCTGTTCTGAAAATGCTGTTGACTGTATTGTCATAGAATGGGACATAGTTTGTAGGGTCTGATAAAAATATGCCTCTCGCAGGGGGTAGGTAGGTGGCTTGGTGGATAAAGCATTGGCCCTGGATTCAGGAGGATCTGAGTTCAAATCTAGCCTCAGACACATAACACTTACTAGCTGTGTGACCCTGGGCAAGTCACTTAACCCCCATTGTCCAACCCCCCCACCAAAAAACAAACAAAAAAAAGAATATGCCTCTCATTTGGAAGCATCTGGAGGGAACATGATGAGGCCATATTTTTTAGGACTTGCTCTTCATCTTTGAGACCCAATCTGTTGTACCTCTATTCTTTAATAAACATAACTCAGATATATTTGTGATTTGGCTGTCTTTTTACTTACTTGGTAGCTAGCAGACTTACCATGCAATCATCCATTTAGAGAGCATGTACTCCTAAATAATTAGAGACAAATAAGAGAGATAATTTCTCTAGGCTCTAAAAATGAGCGTATCAAACCCCAAACAATTGCTGAAGATCAGAGGGACAAAGTTTTCCAGGGTGTTTGCAGGGGTATCATTTACAGTTAACTAAAATCAGAACAGGGGTGATGATAGACTGGAGAAATTAGAAAGGTATTGAAGGGCTTGAAATTGAGACACTGGAGGATAAAAACAAGTGCATTAAGATCTTGAGGTCAGATGGTTGAATTCAATGGAATTTGAAGTAATACTTTAGTTTGCCTGTCTCTGCAATATTTTGTTTCCACTTTTTTCTTTTTAAAAATGTTTTAAATTGAGGCAGCTAGGTGGTGCAGTGGATAGGCCCTGCAGTCAGCAGTACCTGGGTTCAAATCTGACCTCAGACTAAACACTTGACACTTACTAGCTGTGTGACACTGGGCAAGTCACTTAACCCCAATCGCCTAAAAACAAAAACAAAATGACAAAAACCAAAACCAAAAAAGTTTTAAATTGGTATATCTTGCTTTTTACATTGTCTATATTCCCTATATCCTTCCCTGTTGACCTCTGAGAAAACCATCCCTTATTACAAAGACTAAGAAAGAGGGGGAAAAATAATTTAGAAAAACCAACAAACATGTTTTTTCAATGAAAACCAAATGTTTCAATATTCAACTTTCTAGTCTAGTAGTCTGCATTCAGAAGAGCTGTCACACACTTTAGTGGATAAAAATAGGCACTCTTTAAGAATTCTGGATTAGATTAGAATGTGCAAGTACCAAATTACCTTGTTCAACATCATTTCTGTATTGTTTGATATTATAACAATAACAATAATACTGTCTCTTGCTTTATATGACAATTATGATCACTATATTTATGTAGTGTTTTTAATAAGATTTTATTATTTTTTAATTTTTAATTTAATTTTACATTATTTATAAGTATATAATATACATAATATAATAATTAAAATATGTTATTTTATAATTTTTTTCTCTAATAGAACAGTAGATAGTACAAGCATTCATTTTACAGGTGGGATTTAGCAAGATTAAATGAGTTGCTTGTAGACAACTGGTAAAACAGCTGGTAAGTGCTGAAATTAGGACTTTGCTAAATTATAATCTCTGTGATTTTTTTTTGTTATTTAGGCACAGGAAAAATAGAGTAAAAGTGTGGAAAGGAAAAACAAGGAAACACCATTTAATTTCAGACTCCAAAGATTACATAGAACTTGGAAGGACTTAATGTTAACTTTACTGCCAATAATGTTGAGAAGCACTTATCCAAAGTACTAGAGTTCTGGATAGTGGCACGCTACACAGATCAGAGGTTTCTAGAGCTGGAATGACATTTCAGGTCATTTAGTTTAACCTTTTCATTTTACAAATAAGGAAGCTAAGCTTAAGTAACTTGCCCAAGGTCATACAAGTAGCAAAACCTGGACTCTAAGCCAGGTCATCTGATTCCTAACCCACTGCTATTTCTACTGCATATTGATGCTTCTAATTCATTACTTACGTTTCACAAGCCTCCTTCAATCTTGTTCACCTGGGAAGTTCAAACTGCCATGCCCAACCTGGCAGTTTAGCCTGATTCAGTTGCAGTGCTGAGCAAGCATTGTGGTTCCTAAGACTCTCAGAGTCAGTGATCTTTTATCTTTCATCTTCATCTCTCTGTCTACGGGGCAGTGCTAAATAATAGTATGTAGATTTTGTATATTTACCTGACCAAAATGTGATCTGAGCTCCTCTTTGCTAGACAAACCTCAGCTTCTTCTTGAACATTCACAGTCATGTGACTTCAGCATAATTGAATTGCTCTTCAGAGATGGAGAAAACATGCTCAGATACTGCGTAGTTGTTTGAGCTCAGCATAGAACCAATAAGCAAATAAACAGGACATCATAACTAGAACACAATGCACAATACATCTACCAAGCAGCTGTGAATTCTCCTAATCCCTATAATCTCCCCTAAAAATACAGAAACTGCTTCAAAATAGGAATTCTAGGAAATCAATGGTTTGAGATTATTTACTCACTCTAATCACAAAATGAAGAGGCAAAATTGGGGAGTGGGGGGATTGGGGAGTGAAGGGAAGACTCTGGACCTGATACTCATAGCACCAGGGAGTGACTCAAGACCTCTTTGGACTCCACAGAAGACAGACTTTTCATAGTCTGTTATGGCCTTGGTGAGACCTTCAATCTCTTCTGACTTCAGCTAAGCTACATACTTCTAGAGAAAAGCAAATGAACCCAAAGGCCAGTCGTGGCAAGATGCCCAGCTGCCCTGTAATCACAGTAGCATCTCTCTGCTGCTGCCACTGCTTTAAAAAATCATATCCTCTTTACTATCCCTACAAAAGCAAAACATTCTTTCCTGGACATCACTCCCTTTTACGTGTTGTCTCCCATTGCCAGAAGGAGAGATTCCCGAGGTCAGGGACAGTCTCAGTTTTGTATTGTCATTTCCAGGGCTCAACACAGTGCTAAGGCATTTCTAAAAGCTCATTCATTCACTCACTTATTTATTTATACCTATAGATGTGTTTGTATAGGTAGAGGCAGTGTGATGTAATGCATAGAAAGCTGGCTTTGGATTCAGGGACACCTGGTTTCAAATCCCGACTTTTACACTCACTAGTTCTGAGACTGGGCAAGTCACTTAACTGCCATATGCCTTATGCAATTTCCTACCGTTTATTTATTCAGTTATGGACAAGGTTGTATGATCTGATTCCCTGCTTTGATGAACTCAAAGATCCTTCATGTGTACGCATGTATATATGTCTAGGTATGTGTCAAGTTTTTTTCAAAGGATTTTGACATATCTTATATGATGCTTTCAACAATATGGTGAACCGTTGGTGAATTTGTTGTCTTTTTACGGGTTTGGGTTTGGAATGTTAACCCTTCAGAGGTTTATTTGGGACTAGGCACCTAGAATGCAATTCCATTTACTGCCATCAAGTAGACGGTGGTGCCTAATTAGCTAGGTAAGGCAGGTATTATTAATCCCATTGACAGAGGAGGAAACCGAAGTGAAAGAGGTTGAGTTCACAGTTAATGGATGCCGTGCTAGGACATAAACCCAATTTTACTGATGCTTATCTCTTTCCGTTAGATTAGGGGCAGAACACTCCCAGTCTGCATTCTCTGATAAGAACTGAAATGCTTGTCAGAGAATCTGTATGTGAGGGTGTGTTCAGGAGAACGCACCTCCCATTCTACCGCTGAATTGCCGATAAACACCGGATTTATCATACTAGAGTTACAGAAGGTAATTCCTATTATAAAACTGTTTGTTTTGGGGGCTCTCCCTCACTCTCCACATTTCCAACACTCCCTATGGAGCCAGCCAATTTCGAAGTGGGAGGAGCAGCAGCCTTTGGATGTAGGAGCACTTCCTGCTTGGGAACTGGTAAGCAACAGCAGGCGGAGCCTGGTCTGGGATCCCGCCCTGGGGAAGCCGCAGCAGGAGGTCCAGCCCCGCCTCCTCCACTCACCCACGTAGACCTCCCCCACCCCCAGCCCCTTTAAGCTTCTTCCTCTCTTCGCTGCTCCAAGTGGGAAAAGGAGCGGGAGGAGAAGGAGGAGGAGGACAGAGAAGAGGAGGGGTGGGAGGGGGAAGGGGAGGAGGAGGCTGAGGCCGAGTTTATGCTCCTCCCTCTAGTCTAAGAGGTGGCCCCGGGAAGCGCAAGAAGGGAGACAAGAGGCAGGTGGTGGAGACTTTGCATTATTAAAGCCCAGGGAGAGGGAGGAAAAGAAGGATGAGGGGGAGGAGCTGGTGCTAGAACGAGGAACAGCGCGTGAACCCGAAGTCTCAACCCCCATCAGCCCCGCAGCAGCAGCAGCAGCAGCAGCAGCCGCAGCCGGACCGCGGCTCTGCAGAGTCCAGACAGCCGAGAGAGAAAGGGGAGGGTGGGGAGCCGGGGGCTCCTCCCATACCAGTTGCGGCCTCTTAGCCGAAGCGGGAGAGCCCCCTCCCCTGCAGCTCTCCCCACCCACAGGGGCGGGGGCGGTGGTGGTGGTGGTGATAGTGGTGATAGTGGTGGTGGTAGTGCTGCTGCTGCTGCTGCTGGTGGAGGCGGCGGCGGCGGGTGCAGGAGCTGAGAAGGCGACAGCAGCAGCTTTTCCAGGGCCGGCCGCGCTCAGCCATGTCGGCCGGAGGCGTCGGCACCCCCAAATCCCTGCCCTCCTCTGGGCCCAAGTCCCTGCAGGACATGCCGCACCCTCTGGCCGGCCCGAGCAGCGAGGATGTAGCTGGCGGTGAGCTCACCCCGAGCCCGGACCTGCAGCTGCCCTGCAGCGTCGCCGACAAGGTAGAGAGAGGGCTTGTCACACCGGGGAAACGTGCGCAGGGAGCTGCGTCTGTTATGGATTTGGGAAGTTGGGTTATAGGGGTTGGGGTTTTTCTCTCATTTTCTCCCATTCCCCGTAATGGGGTTTTGAGGGGGTGCTAAGAGCAAATTCTGGCATGCCCCTTGCCAGACTGTAACGTCCTACTGTGACCTCTCCTGAGAGAAGCATCACCTTTTTTCCAGAAGGGATTCTGGATTCACTAACCAGTGGAAGGAAGGAACAGTGTGGTTACGCTCTTGTGTGGCCGAACCATTATGCCTCCGCTCAGGGGAATGGGCACTTTTCTATCACCTCCAGTCTCGGAGTGAAGGCGATCCGGCCTTCATCTGTAGTAGGTGCCAGGAGAGGGGTGCTTGTGCATTGGTGTTGACTGCTAATGGCACTGGGTGGTGGTGGTTCTGTGAACTTCACCTTTGAGGGTGAGGTCCCAAATAAGTTACCGGTTCCCTTTACTTCTTGAGAACCCAGAGAATCATCAGTAAATGACTTGTGTGGGAAGATTGAGGATCTTCACTCTTAACCTTGTGGCTTCCCTTCATTAAGTCATGTGGGTGAGAGATTTCTGGTTAGGTTATGTGTGTGTGTTTCAAGTCAGGTGACCACCAAACCTCCTGAGGGGGTGGAATGGGAGTTTGGTCTAGAGTCCTGTGACTTTCAGTTTGGTAGCCCCTTTTTACTTGGATCCTGTTCTAACCTCTTAAAGTTGAGCACATCTAATTTTCTTGGTGGCAGGAAAACCATCCTCTTTTCTTCCTCCACCCCCCTTTTGTAAATGGGGAGGTTCCTTTCTGCCCCCAGAAGCAAAGCAAACCACATTGCTATTTTGAGAGACACTACAGCCTTTGCAGTGGCGGGGGGCTGGTCACCCATATCCTGTTGCTTGCCGTTTCAGTATAAAGGTTTTGGTGCCCCCTGGAATTCAAGCAACGAATATCAAAATAGCTTTTGCTATTTATTCACTAATTTCAGAAAATAAAGGTAGCCTTAGTATGTACAATAAAGATTGCCAACTTCCAGAATGGGCTGTTGGACTTAAGCTTTCTCCCTGCCTCTAAGAAGGGGCAGAGTTGTGGTGGAGAAACCTCCTTTGATGGACTTGACTTGCAAGCTGCTTACTGCTGCAATCCAATGATCGCATATGTGTTGAACACTGAAAATGTGAGACCCCAAAATCTGAAACACATAAATGAAGAGAGGAATTGGGGGAAAAGGTAAGTGGCAAAGGGACCTTGGAGATGCATATACACATACACATATATATGCATGTACATACAAAAATACCCATATGTATATACACCCATATACATATATACATGTATGCATATGCAGGTACGCTCATGCACACACATATTTTTTTTGATCTGGAACCCTAATTTTGTCAGTGTTGCCCCATGTGGAAACTCTCTCCTGGTGCTGATCAGAAGCTTATCTGTAACTAATAGAGTTCCCTAGGACCCTAAGAGGAAAAAATAATTGGCCTATAGTTAACTATGAGGCAGGTCTTGAACCCAGGTCTTCCTGACTCAAAGGGCAGCTGTCATGAGTCTGGTTTGCTTTTACCATAATTGAACAAAATCATAAGGATCTATGTGTGCTTACCAAAGAGCAGGGTCTTTGAAGTATAACTTCCTCTAAAACCTTTGTCCTCCTTGTATTTACTAGTGGTCAAGTCCAACTCTGGACTAACTCAATTGAGACTTAACCAAAGTTTGGAGGATAGGGAAGAAACCAAAATCCTTATTCTGATTACGGGTTGCTTTGTTAATAAGTCTCAATTCTCAAGGAAGAAAGATTGTCCTAGAGGCATTGTTATTAATTAGCAAACAATTAATAAAAGCACCCTGCAGTTTATTAACTGCTCACAGAACATTGTAATGACATAATACTGATTTTAGGCTCCCAAGAGAATGATTTATAGTGAACTACTTTTGTCCTTAGAGACCAAGTGATGAAGTTGTCTGACTTAGAGCAACAGATTTTCTTGCCTTGTTATTTTTTTGTGAAAATCTACGTATCCTTTGGGTATGCTATGATTTGAGTATCCAAGAAACAAGAGAACAATGACAAGAGCCATAATGTTTCCTTGGTTAGCAGAATCCTTTTTTTTTTCCTTTTAAATCAGAAATGTGATTTCATTAGGGTACAGCACTTCTGGTGAGCAATTTCCTTTACTGAGGCACATCAGCAACTTTTGTGCAACTCAGGTCCAAGTATCGGCTTTACTTAATTATGGTATGGTATTACGGTTGTTATAGCCTTGACCCCATGGACAAGTCACTTAATCTCTGAAAGTGTCAGTTTGCTCATCTGTAAAAAGAGTCTAATCCTTGTACTACCCCTTTTACAGTGTTGTGAGGAGGGGAAGCACTATGCAAAACAGGTTGCCACTTTTACATATCACAGCTAGATAATTTTTAGTCATGGGCTCTAGTACATTGCTAATATTATATTTTCTGGAAGATAAAGGGTTCATACCATAGCTGTAAATGGTCTGAAAGTAAATGACTAGTTAGCTTCAAGCATAACACACATGCTTTTGTGGGCCATTCTGGTGGTTCAGGAATTGTAACCAAGTGAGACATTTAATAGACCATCCAATAACAACAAAAAAGTTTGCTTAACAAAAGAATGGAAAAGGTACATAGTAAAAATACAGTACTGGTTCAGGTAAATGCAACCTGCTTCATTTTTGTAGATAGATCTGTTCAGAAAGGTGTGTTCAGGCATTTGGGAGGTGCTCACTGTATTCAAGGCTTTGTAATTAGATATTGAGAAATGAAAAAGCAGAAAATAATCCCTGCCCTCAAAGATCTTGCATTTTAAGGAGTTTACATATGAATGGAGAGATTACTTGGTCCTGTCACCTGTCTTCAGGCAAGCCAAGTATTATTGTTCCCATTTTACAGTTCCTGACTTTATCACTGCTGATCATGCAAAATGTGAGAGTTTGGGAAGGGTTGATTGAAATATGGTTTGGGATCAGAAGGGTTGTATTGACTGGCTTGGAAATGGTGCATCTGCCAGCCACATTAATATTCTGAGTTGTAGCCTTCTGATTAGAACTGCCCTGACTTTGGAGGGGCAGGGAGGATATAGCCTAGCCCAGCATGCCAGCAAGGCCTTAATGACTGAGAGAAGCTATGTCAATGACTGGAGGCCTGGACCAATCAAATCTCAGGAACAGCTTGTTGGCTTTTTTTGGGAAAAAACTAGCCTAAGTCTAGTTGCAAGGACCCTAGCAGATAGTGTTCCTACCACACAGGTTTTAGATCCCACTAATATTTAAATCAGAGCCTTCCAAAAAATGAATTAATGTTTCAGTAATTTGAAGTAGTGTGTGGGTTTGGATTATAGAGGGTTCATACTTAGCTTATCCTCTATCTGCTTTGCCTAGAATGAAGTCTTTAGTCTCATTTTGGAAAATAAGGTTTTGAAAAATGTTATCGAATTTCCATTTGTGTTCAGTTTTAATACCCCCCCCTTCCAATAAAATCCCCCACCTATATCTATGACTCTGTGGTCTGTCAGTGGATGTTTTTTTACTTCTTGTCTTAGACTTCCACTTATTGGACATCTGTCTAATATTGAATGTGCTGGGGGTGCTTGGGACTCTGTTAGGTCTGGCGGGATATACCTTAGAAGACATAGTCCTTGCCCTCATAGAATTTTTATGATCTAGTTGGGAGGCAACCTACAACTATGTGAAAAGTCAGTCTGTGAATACAACAGTAAAAGGGCTATCACAAAGTAGTACACGCTTACCAAATGATAATATATTATGGGCTAGATCTCTGGCTGGGATGGCTTGCAAAGGCTTCAGAAATTAAGGACCTAGGTTAGTCCTTAAAGGATGGAGGAGTTTTCTCTTCAGTTGTCTGTAAGGTGCTTGGTTCTTCTTCGGAAGCTAAGGCCGAATTGGGGTGGTCCCTCACTTCATCCGGCGACTAGCACCGCTACAAACAAGTCTCTCCTCATCCTTCTGCTGAAATGGCTGTCTCTGAGCTCTACCCTCATCCTTCACAACGATGATGTTACAGTCACGGAGGATAGAATCAATGCCCTCATTAAAGCAGCAGGTGTAAATGTTGAACCATTCTGGCCAGTATTATTTGCAAAGGCCTTGTCCAATGTCG